CCTTTTCCTTCCTTTCCTATTCCTTCCTTCCTTCCTTCCTTATTCCTTCCTTCCTCCCCTAAACTAAGGCCGACCCCCCCCCCCCCGAGACTCCAGAGGAAGAGAAAGGAAACGTGTCTTCTGTCTCCCACTGGTTAAAGGAGGAACAAGCAGCTTGCAAAGGAAGGGAGAAGCCAGAATCACGTTCACCGGAAAAGACCAGGGGGAGCATCCAGCGGAGAGGCAACCAGCAAAGGTTGCGAAAGGGGGGGGGGCGGAGAGAGCAGATATCAAGTTTCGGACTGCACAGTTGAGAATCAAAACACTTTGCGCAAAAGCTTCCGGGAAAAGTCATTTTAAGCCGCATTAAAGGAAAGGAAAATGGCACGGGGTCCATCCGAGGCCACCAACGGGTGATTTATAGACATCTGGATCCTATAATGTTGCAAAAATTAAAATGGCACCTTGAAGAGGGTGGGGGAGAAAACAAAAAGGTGGGGGGGGGGTTAGATTCAGAGCCGAAGCCCCCGTTCCAAAGAGCAGAATTGCTGCAGGAAGAACCAAGGCCTATTTTTAAAAAGCCAATTCCCAAAATAGCTTGTTTCCCAACTGAAGATTTGGGCTGCCCTCAAGGAGAGCAATGGGATAGCCGAAAAAGAAGAACATGGGGGAAATGTCCTTCGATGGCCATAATCTTCAGAAACAAATCTCTCTTCCAACATGGCCAAGTAGGGTGGAAAGGACACCACCTGGTGTTAAAGAGACGAAGGTGGACAATAGCAACACCCACACACCCACGACACACGGGGGAAAAAATCGATAAAAAAGGTATTTTATCTGGCAAAGGCAATCGCAGCGTTCCCAAATGTTTCGTGGCACGGCCAGGATTTTTATTGCAAATAACGTTCTCGTTCCGCCAACAAAAAAACGCCTTTCCAATTAACACATTATTATTATTCTTTTTCTTTTTTTAAAAAAAAAAGGGCTGAGAGGTTGCTGAGTCAGGGAAACCCAGGCCGACATTCTGCCTTCTTATCAGCTCTCTCTAGCTGGGGAGGAAAGGAAAGGGGGGAGAGGGAAGGAAGCAGAACTGTACAATTCATGAATTCGGGGGAAATTTGGCTTCGTTTCAGCATCGTGTTCCAAATTCTCTGGAAAAAGAGAGGTTACCAATTCGCAGCCCCGGCTGGGCCCAGCTTCGAAGGCTCAAAATGAGCCAGCAGATATTTTGCAAAAAAGAGAGGAATGCAGCTTTCCACCCTGAGCCACTGGGGAGACAATTGGGGGGGGGGGGGTAGGTGTTCTAGCCCCCCCAAAAGCTCTCTCTCTATCACATAAACCCCTTGTGACTCAGGACAAGCCTGTGGGGGGCAGCTCGGGTGGTCTTGGTGGTGGTGGTGGTGGGGAGTCCATGGTGGTGGGCGAGGAGAGGTAGGAGGGGCTCCCCACCAAAGAGCCCCCTCCCCACGTGGCAACGGAAAAGAGGATCTGCCCCTCCCTTCAATGGGCAGTCTGGGGAAGCCCCCTCCCCTAAAGGAGAAGCCTGTCCCTCCCTCTCCTCCCAGGGGGCAGAGCTCCCCCTCCCTCCCCCAGAGGGCCCCCATTGGGGGGTCTTGGGGGGCCTCTTGCAAGGGGGGCTCTGCCCCTCCCTTCAATGGGCAGTCTGGGGAAGCCCCCTCCCCTAAAGGAGAAGCCTGTCCCTCCATCTCCTCCCAGGGGGCAGAGCTCCCCCTCCCTCCCCCAGAGGGCCCCCATTGGGGGGTCTTGAGGTCCCTCTTGCAAGGGGGCTCTGCCCCTCCCTTCAATGGGCAGTCTGGGGAAGCCCCCTCCCCTAAAGGAGAAGCCTGTCCCTCCATCTCCCGGGGGGGGGGGCACAGTTCCTTCTCTCCTCCCAAAGGGCCCCCCAGAGTATCCCCCTGCCCCAATTGCCCCCCTAGAAGAGAGAGGGGCCCTTTCTAGA